ATGAAGTCTAATGGTAATGTTACTATTCTTGGTCTACAACAAAAAGCCTTGAGTCTTCAGGTCTCTGAGAACCTGGAAAAGGTAGGAAAGAAAAAATGAATGGATTTGCAGAAGTTTCAATCCTATCTGACCATTTCAATACAAAATGTGAATATAATGTATATCAGAAAACTTTGTCACTAGAATTCTGCCTGATACAGTTCTAATGTTTATTCTTTATGATAGAGATCTGGCAAGGTGGATCTTAGAGGAGAGTTGGCAGTTTGTGGTAGACACATATTTATGTTTCCAGTTGTCTGGATTGTAAAACAGCCTTAAAAATAACAGTTAGCTTGTGTAATCAGACAACCCTGAGCTGAATTAAGAAAATTTGGTGGGGAGAGAGATAAATTTCATGTTCTTCCTTTTGCAATTCACTCTTCTTCTTTAAGTAACTTTAAGTATCTTTGCTACAAAAGTTAAAAAAAGAATAACTAAAAGTATTTTGTGATAGAAATTATCACCACCTATTCTGTACACTAAGAAATCAGGCAAAGAGAATATATATAAGAATAGTAGACATTTGAGGATCAAGTCAGAATTAGGGAGGTAAGGAGGAGAAAAGATCTTAGGGTCCATCTAACTGGTGTGCTTGCTGGAGGAAAAATTCTATGGGGTATTAAAAATGTACAAGACACATTTTTAAACATGCATGTACTCAAAATGCAGTATATTGTTTTCAATAATTTAAATAATTATAATACAGTTATTTAGCCACCGCTCATCTATCAGTTTATACTGTGGTGGCTTGCATGTTGCTATGATGCTGGAGGCTATGCCTCCAGTATTTCAAATACCAGTAGAGTCACCCATGGTAGGCAGGTTTCATTGGAGCTTCCAGACTAAGACAGACTGGGAAGAAGGATGAGGGCACCCATGTCTAAAAAATTAACTAATGAGAGAACCTTATGAATAACAGCAAAGCACTGTCTGATTTATTACTGGAAAACTGTATGAATAGCCCTGAAAAATTGTCTGATATAGTGCCAGAAGATAAGCCCCTCATATTGGAAGGCACTCAAACTATGACTAGGGAAGAGGTGCCTCTTCAAAGTAGAGTCAACCTTAATGATGAAGATGGAGTAAAGCTTTCAGGACCTCCATTTGCTGATGGGGTATGACACAAAATGGGAAGAAATAGCTGCAAGTATCCATTAATAATTGGAATGTAGAATGTATAAAGTATGAATCTAGGGAAATTGGAGGTTGTCAAAAATGAAATGGAATGCATAGAGATTGATATCCTAGGCATTACTGAGCTGAAATGGACTGGTATTTGCTATTTTGGATCAGACAATCATATGGTCTACTGTACAAGATATGACAAATTGAAGAAGAATGGGATCACATTCATCATTAAAAAGAATCGTTCAAGATCTGTCCTGAAGTACAATGCTGTCAGTGATAGGATAATATCCCAACATCCACAAGGAAGTTCAGGTGATACTATTATTCAAATTTGCATAGTACCACTAAAGCCAAAGAAGAAGAAATGGAAGATTTTTACCAACTTCTGCAGTCTGAAATTGACCAAACATACAATCAAGATGTATGAATTGCAAGTGGGAAGAGAGTTGTTGTATTGTGGGGAATTGCAGTCAATGTCATGAGACAAAGGGTCTGTGAACTGCTGTATGAAAAATGAATTTGGTCTGTAAACTTTCACCCAAATCACAAGAGAAATTAAAAAAAAAAAAAAAAAAAAAAGAAAGATGTATTGATTTCTACTGGTGATTGGGATGTGAAAGCTGGAAACAAAGAAGCAGTGTTGGTCATTGGAAATGATGATAAAAATGATACCAGAGATTGCATGATGGAGTTTTGCAAAACAAGTAATGTATTCATTGCAATTACCTTTTTTTTTTAGTAATTTTAACGGTGCCTAAACAAATGGATCTCGCCAGGTGGAATACATTGGAATTAGATTGACTACATCTCTGGAAGGTGGTGATGGAGAAGCTCAATGTCAAAAGAACGTCAGGAGCTGAGTGTGGAACAGACCATTAATTGCTCAAATACAAGGTTAAGTAGTAGCTGAAGAAAAATAAATCAAGTCCATGAGAGCCAAAATATAACTTTTATTGTATGCCACTTGAATTTAGAGACCAATAATAGATTTGATGCATTGAACACCAATGCCAAACCAGACAAGAACATCACACATGTAGAAAGCAAATGGTAATTAAAAAGACAGGAGAGGAAGAAAGGCCAAAATGGATGTCAGAAGAGACTCTGAAACTTGCTCTGAAACAGACAGTAGCTAAAGTGAGTGCAGGAAACAATGAGATAAAAGAGCTGACCAGATTTCAGAGGGCAGCTTGAGAAGACAAAATAAAGTATTACAGTGAAATTAGCAAAGAACTAGAGTTAGAAAACTAAAAGGGAAGAACATCAGCATTTCTCAAGCTGAAATAACTGAAGAAATATTGAAGCCTCAAATTGCAATATTGAAGGATTCTATGGGCAAAATATTTAATGGCAAAGGAAGCAGCAAAAGAAAATAGAAGGAATATACAGCCACTGTACCAAAAATAATTGCTTGATGTTGACTATTTCAGGAGGTAGCATGTGATCAAGATCCAACAGTATTAAAAGAAGAAATCCAAGCTGCACTGAAGAAATTGGTGAAAAACAAGATTCCCAGACTTAATGGAATACCCACTGAGATATTTCAACAAATGGATTCAACACTGGAGGTGCTTACTTGTTTATGCAAAGTAATTTGGAAGAAAGTTACCTAGCCAACTGACCATAAGAGATTGCTATCTGTGCCCATTTCAAAGAAAAGTGATCCAACAGAATGTAGAAATCATCAAACAATATCATTAATATCACAGTCAAGTAAAATTTTGCTGAAAATAATTCAGAAACAGCTGCAGCAGTATAGTGACAGAGAACTTTCAGAAATTCAAGCTCGTTTCAGAAATGGACTTGGAATGAGGACTATCATTGTTGATGTCAGATGGATCTTGGTGAAAGCAAAGAGTACCAAAAGATGGTTATCTGAATTTTATTCACTATGCAAAGGCATTTGACTGTGTGGATCATAATAAATTATGGATAACATTACAGAAAATGGGAATTCCAGAACACACAATTGTGCTCATGAGGAACCTATATATAGACCAAAAAGTTGTTGTTCAAATACAAGAAGGGGATAATGCATCATTTAAATTCTAGCAGGGTGTGTGCCAGGAATGTATTCTTTCACCATCCTTGTTCAATCTGTATGCTGAGCGAATAATCTTAGAGACTGGACTATATGAAGAAGGATGCAGCATCAGAATAGGAGGAAGACTGTGATGTCCATGTGACACATCTTTGCTTGCTAAAAGTAAAGAAGACTTGAAGCACTTACCAATCAAAATCAAAGACTACAGTCTTCAGTATGTATACCCCTCAACAGAAAAAAAGAGAAAGAAAAGCTATACAACTGGACCAAGAAACAATAGCATGATAAATGGAGAAAGATTGAAATTGTCAAGGATTTCATTTTACTTGGAGTTCAGAATTGCATCAACACCTTTGGAAGCAGCAGTCAAGAAATCAGATGTTGTATTGCACTGGGAAAATATGCTGCAAAAGACCTCTTTAAAATGTTAAGAAGCAAAGATGTCACTTTGAAGAGTAAGGTGTGCCTAACCCAAGCCATGGTGTTTTCAATCATCTCATAACCCACCAGCCACTCCTCAGAAGGAAGATGGGGCAATCTACTTCCATAGTGATTGTGCCTCGGAAACCCAAGGAGGGGTCGCTATGAGTTGGGTCTGATTCGACGGCACATAAAAACAACAACATAAGCATGTGAAGAGAGCTGGATAATCAATAAGGAAGACCGAAGAAGAGTTGTTGCTTTTGAATTGTGATGTTGGTGAAAAATACTGAAAATACAGTGGATTGCAAGAATAATTAATAAATATGTCCTAGATGAAGTACAGCCAGAATGCTTCTTGGAAGAAAGAATGACCAGACTTCATCTCACCACCTTTGGTCACATCATCAGAAGGGCCTATTCCCTGGAAGAGGATATCATGCTTGGTAAAGTAGAGAGTCAACAAAGAGAGGAAAACCCTCAACAAGATGGATTGCACAGTGGTTGCAATGAGTTCAATTATGGCAAAGGTTGTGAGATAGCACAGGACCTGGCAGTGTTTCATTCTGTTGTACATGGGGTCACTATGAATCAGAGCCAACTCAATGGCACCTACCAACAACATTTAGAGTAGCATAATTGTGGCAGAGATTAGCTGACAGGCCTATATCCATGTTCTCGATATCTGGAAATTTCTAAAAGAAATAATCATTTATGAAGCTAAATTTTCAAAGATCTATTTCAGAAATTAGCTGTACTGGCCTACCATGTGCCGTGCATTCCACTACTATTAATGATTTCATCTCTCATTTCAGTAAAGGTTCACTTGTTGGAATTATACCTTTTAGGAAAAAATTATATGGTAGGAAAAAATGGAGAAGGACATATGAATGGGGCTTGAAAATAGTCAAGAGTATAAGATTATGTTTTGGATGCAGTCCAGGATTGCTAATTAAGATTATTATTTACTGTCATAGCCTACTCTGACACCACTTACTCTGTCATCTAGGTAGTTAGGAATGACAAAAATGAATGACTTCAATTTATACCAACTAAAGGAAAAATATTCTAGTAGTTCTTTCTCAATAGAGAAGGAAAAGATCCTAAGAATTATTAAAAATATGTATGCCTGAGCCACATCAAGGACCTATTTAATCTTAATATCTTGGGATATTAGGCTCAAGGAAAAGATGTGTGTGTGTATGTGTGTGTATGTGTACACAGACTTCAATTAAAGCATACCATCTGACAGCTGTAGTGAAATGAATGAGAATGGAATGTTAATTGTCAGACACAGAAAGATCAGTTATGAAAAGAAAGAAAACTATTATGACTTTTAGTGGTTCTGATGACTACCCTGGAATGGTCCCTATCTCATACCAATGGCTTTGATAAGCACATTCTTTACATCCTTATTCCTCAAACTGTAGATCAAAGGGTTCAGCATGGGGATCACTGTGGTGTAGAACACAGAGGCCACCTTCTCTTGAGCCATGTTACTGCTGGATGCTGGCTTTAAATACATGAATATCATGGATCCATATAAAACGCCAACAACTGTAAGATGAGAGCCACAGGTACTAAACGCTTTGGACCTGCTCTCAGATGAGGGTATTCGAAGAATGTTGGAGAGTATGATGGCATAAGAGATGATGATGGCCACAGTTGTTACTAACATATTGAATCCACCTCCAGTTATCACCAGAAGCTCATTGATGTAGGTACTGGAGCATGAGAGCTTTAGTAGAGGAAGTATATCACAGAAGTAATGGCGGATAACATTGTCCTTACAGAAGGAAAGCCTGGTCATGAAGATGGTGTGAATCATTGCTCCAAAAGATGCCATGATAAAGACTCCACTCACCAACACATTGCAGACCTTTTGGGACATGATGACATTGTAGAACAGTGGGCTGCAGATAGCTACGTATCTGTCATATGCCATGGCAGTCAGCATATAGCACTCAGCAATAGCAAAAACACAAAAGAAAAAGAGCTGAGTCATACATCCAGGGTAGGAAATAACATTTTTCTCCCATAAAAAGTTTTCCAGGAGTTTGGGGGTAACAACTGAGGAGTAAAACAGATCTAGAAATGACAAATTACCGAGAAAGAAGTACATGGGTGACTGGAGCTTGGAATTGAAAGTGATAAGCAGTATCATACCCAGGTTTCCCACTACAGTGACCCCATAGAGCCCTAGGAATAGGAGGAAGAGAGGCAACTGGAGTTCTGGTTTGTCTGTCAGTCCCTCAAGGACAAACTCAGTTACTGTGGAATCATTCTGTCTTGCCATTTCTTTCAGGAAACAGGAGATTGAAACTAAGAAAAAGAAAAATCACAGGAAGTAAGAAAACTATCTGCCCATGATTAGTGAAAAGTTTATTAGTGTTGTGATAGAAGATAAAATTGATTATCGCATCAAAATATTTTAAGAGTGGTCAATTATAATATGGTGAATAACGTATTTCATGTCAGAAATATTTTAATTTTACTCAAGATCATCATAAACTACACAAAAACATAGAATAAACACAATATGATCTTTAAAATAATAGGTAAATGTCTTAATGGGACAAAGTCAACTTTTGTGCACCCTCTGAGATTTTATTAGTGTCTGAAAGAAACTGATATTTAGCAGTTATGAATTGCAGTGTGACTACAGAGCACTCTTCACAGAGACACTGGTAAGGGAATGCATATCTTAGATTAATATCTTAGGGTTAAAATTCATTGTCTAAAGGGAAATGTAGAGGCTATGATGATTCAAATCAAGCACATCTTCAGCTTAATGTTGGAGTACTTCTATTCCAATGGGTAACTATTATATTTGTTTGTCTTTCTAGGAAGAACTTTGGAAACTAATGCAGGTATACATTAGGAAGTAATGAAATGTGGAGGAACTGAAGAAGAGGACATTTCCTAATGCTCCCTCCATTGCACACCAGTAGGCAGCAGCAAATTATTTTTCTCTAGTTTCAGTTGTGTTGGCTTAAGTAATAGGCACATATGTTTTAGTCAACAGTAATTTTATTAAAATATAAATTTGTAATTCTCCCTAAGTAACTTTTTTTTCACAATAAATTATTTAGTAAAAGTATACTCAGAAATTTTTGTACTTACTTGAATATTTTCCAAAGTAGAAGAGTTGTTGCTCCTAGTTAACTTATATTTTTTTCTTGTAATGTGAGATAATTTCACACAGTCAGCTTTCTGGCAAATCTTACAGGTATAGAATCTGGTTGAACTTGTTGATAGTGTAATATTATTAGGCCATAACATGAAAAAATCAAATAGTAGCAAATGGAAATTAAAAAGAAATACAGCTCTTCTCAAGAAATATAGCTCTTCTCATGAACTGTGGCATTGGATTCCTGTTCCAGCTGTGGCAGCAACTCAGTGTGTGACACTGGGGAAGCCATTTTGCTTTTCTCTTCTATGAAGGATTGAGCTAAATATCTCATAAGTCTGTTGTAGCTTTAAAACTTCACAACTCAATGATTCTATCTTGAGTGAGAGATAATAAGGTCTCTTTCAACCACCAAGTTAAGCATTTTGTAAGCGTGGGTTACTTTGATTGGTTGTTTGTAGGTTTTTAATCTCCAAGGACATGCAAGAGTACAGTATTCTCCTAGGACCACAAGTCCAGCGGACAATCTTCAAGGTAAAATTCTCTTGAGAAAAAGAAAAGTAATTACTGGGTTATATTTTCAACCAGAACAATTGCACTTCCAGAAGATTGACATTTGTAGTGTTCAGAATTAGTTTTCTTCTTCCTTCTTAGAAGGAAAAATCTTTACCCAGTAATGGGTCTTCACTCACATCTGGAACGATTGTAGGATCACCATAAACAAATTTTTGACAGTTCCCCGTGGTTATTGTAATTTACTTCACAGAATAGTGAACTGCCCTCATGTTTTTGTGTATCAGGAAAAGAGCATGGTGAATCTTGCTTTTATATTTTTAACTTTTGTACCATACGGGTCCAACTCGACAGCACATAACAACAACAACCATAATTAAGGTCAATTAATAATTATTCACCTAGAGTATTCATGTAGTGTCAATGATGACCAAAATAAGAAGACCCATTTTTCTCCTAAATATTTTTCGCACTAATTTTGGTGTAGTTTTAGAGTTGGGGAGGGATTACTCATTACAGTTTGTAAGAAGCTCCTGTTGGCTCCTTCAGAAATAGTAACACATTTGAGATATTAGCATAGTTTCTAAGAATTAGTCTAGGAAACCTGGCAGCCCCATGGTTAAAGCACTTGGTTGCCAACCAAAAGGTTAGCAGTTTAAACCCAACAGCTGCTCTGCATGAGAAAGATGTGACCGTCTGCTAAGATATACAGCCTTGGAAATCCTATAGGGCAATTCTACTTTGTCCTATAGGTTTGCTACGAATAGAAATTGACTTTACAATACTGGGTTCCATATTGAAGAGTTAGCCTACTTATGTGCACTTTGGCCTTGGCCTGAAAGAAAGAATGGTTTCAAACTCACCTCCAGATACTTCATCTTCTTGTAGGAGATTAGCCACTTCTTTCTCTTGATAAGATTTGTAGGCTTTCTTTAAGATACATGAAGAACATGCTCTGAGATATCACTAGTATATCTTTGATATAAATCTTGGCAGCAGCTTTGTCTATTAAATCTCAAAATGCTCGTGTCAACAAGGATTTACATACGAACAAGGCAAAAAAATGTTTTTACCCATGTTTCCAAGGTCATTGATGCTTTTAAGAATTAGCTTCTATTATTTGGCTAGATTGCTACATCTAGTAGTGGTTATATTTTATAATCCAATTGTATTTTATAATCCAAATATACTTAATTTTCATTAAGTTTGTAAAGATACAAATTTTGTTAAAGAAAAAAAAGAACTAGATAGGATTTCCCAGGTTTACAAGGTTGAGTACATAATAAGGAAGTATTTAAAGAATTAATTGATAGTACTGAACAGTCCAAATCACTTTGATATTAACCATCTAGTTCTGTTTTGCTTATCCAATTTTTCTTATAAACCATAAGAGCCAACATGGTGTAGTGCCTAAGGCATTTGACTGCTAATCAGAAAGTTGGTGGTTCAAAGCCACCACCCTCTCAGCCCAAGGAAGATGGGGCTATCTGCTTCCGTAATGATTTACAGCCTCGAAAACCCAGTGGGAGTCACTTTGAGTTGAAATGGACTCAATGGCAGTGATTTTTTTTTTTTTTTTAATGGAGCCAATAAAATTTAATGACTGACTGAGGAGCTATTTACATTTGTTTACAAAAGGACACACATACTGTTTAGATTCTTTAAGGCAATGTTTCTTTTTAAACAATGTTTCCTGAACACAGAACCCATTATCCTGAAAATTATTTCAATGATTTTCTTGACCTACTTATGCAAATGTTTTAGCCTTGAATTCATTAAAATTCAAAATATGAGTTCATTACAAATATCTTATCAGTAAAATTATCTTTACTAACATAAGAAATTTGTACTCTTTTACGTGCAGGCCACTATGCTAGTGTCATATCACATCTGCTTCATCTTCTAAGACCTTCAATAAGATTTGTTTTGTTGTTATGTGCCGTCGAGTGAGACCTGACTCATCGCGACCCCTCCTTGGGTTTCCGAGGCAGTATCACTATGGAAGTAGATTGCCCCATCTTCCTTCCGAGGAGTAGCTGGTGGGTTTGAACCGCCATCCTTCTGGTTAGCAGTCAAGTGCCTTAGCCACTATGCTACCAGAGCTCCCTTCAATAAGATATATTATATAATATAATACATATATATAATATAGCCACTCCTCAGAAGGAAGGTAGGGCAATCTACTTCCATAGTGATACTGCCTTGGAAACCCAAGGAGGGGTCGCTATGAGTCGGTCCGACTGGATGGCACATAACAACAACAACAATATATTATTATATATAATATGTAATATATGTATATTATATATATATATATATATATATATATAGTCATTTTTTTAGGTGCTATTGAGTGAATTTTCGACTCATGGTATCCTTACTTGTTGTAGAATAGAACTGCCCCATAGAGTTTTCGAGATTGTATTTCTTCTGGGAACTGAAGGCCAGATCTTTTTCCTACTGATTGGCTGGATTAGTTCAGTTAGCAGCTGATTCTTTAATTGTTATGCCACCAGTACTCATTATATATTAAATAACTGTATAATATTATTCACAATAAAGGATTTAATAAAAGTATATTCAAAATTTTCTATAGTTAATCAAATTCTGTCGGGACCAGTTTTTTTTTTCCTGCTTAATTTTTATTTATATTTCTACTTAATTTATATTTATATTTTATTTATATTTATATTTTTAAAAATATATTTATATTTCTATATACATTTCTAGTTATTTATATTTGCATAAAAGTATAATATAACAATAAATATAAACATAATAGCTGTGACTCCTCACTATTGTCGAATCTATACTGACTCATAGTGACCACTCCTTGGGATTCTGAGGTGATATCACTACAGAAGTAGACTCCAGTCTTCCTTCCAAGGAGTGGCTGTTGGGTTTGAACCACTAGCCTTCCGGTTAGCAGTCAAATAGACATTAATAAATGATCATCCTATACTTATATTCCTGAACTTAGTGAAAATCTCTTAAAGGTTTCGTATTAAATGTGCTATTTATATTAAGTGTGCTATTTTTTGTTAGTTTTGGATATGACTATCTTCTAAGATTGAAGAACAGATTTGGCTTTTTGGTATCTCTTAATTTAACAAATTGTTTTGACAGATTTTTTAAAATTGTAAGACATTGTTACATTATGGAATAAATATATTATGTAATAATAGATATTATTTTATTTAGTTTTTTTTTAATTTATCTTCATGAGTGCAAATGATGACTTTTTTTTGGTCTTTTTTCTCTTTGTGCCTTGGTTAGTTTCAATTTCAGGGTTATGAAACCATCATAGTGCTAAGAAACTGTTCACATTTTTTCCTGTGTAGGAAAAATGTAAATAATGAAGAAATTATCTGTGCCTTGAAGGTTTGCTAGAACTCACATAATTAAATTAGTAATTGTATTGCTTTTCTGATTCCTAAAGTTTTTACCTATGTTTGTCCTTGTTAATTTCTACCTGAGCTTGGCTGCTATTACTTTTTTAAAAGAACACATTATTTGTTTTATTTATCAAGGCTATTACATTTTAATCTCTAATTGATCATTCCCTAATTTTATCTTATTTGGTTATCGTTTTTATATTGTTCATTTTCTTTTTTCTAAAGTTGGATGTTTAATTTATATACAATGTTTGCACA